GGCTAATATTGGTACGCCGTTCGATGCGATCGATAATTAATGTCCCAACTGCTTTTGAGATTTCTACAGGTCAACATTCGTGGAGCTCTCATGAAAGTCATTATCAAGGCTAGAAGAACTATGATGTCACCGCGTATACAGGGACATCGCGAGCAGGGAGGGGATTCCTCCTTCCCGCTTTTTTCAAATGGTTTACTCCCAAATTCGAGAATTTATTGCTCTCAAAATGAGATAAACCATCTGGTGTATGTTAATAATGATAACAACAGGTGGAAATGAAGTGGAAAAGTTTCTGAGCTCTGATTTAGTGTTGTATAACGAGCAATCGTTAGTACTCATTATAAATACTCTCGATTTAAGAGTAAACATCAACATATTTTCTTTTCTTCGTTCACAAGAAAATCTGCTACGACTTGCATGTTGAAAGCATTGCATTCTTCTTGCTCTCTTTCACTAACTGGCTTCCAACTCCCGCGGTATAAACGCTTGACTATTTGTAACAAAACGCCTTTGTCGGCTCAGTTTACTCTCAAAGTCAGAATTTGAGATTCAGGTTTTTAATCGATTCCTCAAGTTATGATGATGAATCAGTACGTTTTACTCTTAAATTTAAAGAAGTTTATATCTCAGACATAAACTGCGAGTTAATGGAAACAATTAAAACCCGGAAAGCGTATTCGAAAAAGTGCAGCAACAGATTTCAGAATACTTTGGTTGTTTTTCACAGTTAAGTGTCTACGAGTTAGAATAGAAATCAGTTCAGAAAATGACAAATATGTTTAGTTTAGAGCAGAAACTATAGCAGAAAACTTGAGGGCATTAAGTTTTTTGCAACTCAAAATGTCTTGTATGTCAAAACTTACGTATTATTAGACAAATCAGGTATTTACTCGCATTCCTGAAAGTTTTCGATTTACTTCGAAATCGAAGGACCGTACTTCGCGGTATCCCTGCTCATATTCTACAAGCAATGAAGATTTCTTAAACATTTTTCATAGAAAAGACATATTCAAGTTTTGAGTGGTGTGAACTGCAAGTCTCCATCATCTATCTATCATAGAAGAATAAGTGCGTAGGTATGTATCGAAATATCGGTACTGAAAATACCTTAAAAATATTTTTCTGTATAGAAACTAGATCTTTTTTCTTTCGGGATACTAATCAATCAATAAGAACACGCTGATTTTACCACAATTGCCTAGAAAAATATTTATGAAAACCTTGCAGTCTTTAATACGACATCCACAAATAAACAGTATCTTATGCGAAAACTTTTGATGTATTCAGTATTTTCACTATACCAATTCTGACGCAAACAGAACGAAGGTTATGTTATTCTAAGATCCCTACTGCAAGATTGGTCAAGAACTGTTAGATTATTACACGATGGGGTCCTGCTGTTATAAAGGAGTGTTAAAATTTTCGACGGAAATGGACTCATTATGTGGATAGTTTCTCAAATGATCTAATCAGCCAGACGTTGAAGGGAAGCCTGTTTAGTTTGTCCAGTTGGTGAGAGGAGAGAAAGTCATTTCGAAACAATAACACTATTTAATTCTGCATTGTAGAATGAACAATTCGTATATATTTTGCCTATTCGCCTTAACTTTTTTAACATGTGTGGTTGCTTCTTATCTCGACATTCCCACACCACCTACGCGTCCAGTACGATTTAAAACACGTCATCAAATAGTAGAATATTTAAAAGCAATTAAAGATTACCAGGATGCATTCAAACCCAAACTGGTTGGTCAAAAAACCGCTTTGTCCGATTTACACTCAGATTTAAAAAGTAATCTGCAAACCATCAACAATCATAATAATCAGCCATCGGACAAATATAGCGAAACAGAAATAAATTCAAATGAGAGTGAATCTTCTCCAGTTTACCATCAAAATTATCCATCTTCAAAGTTTAGTACACCATTCTCCTTCAGTCGACATTCATTTCTTGAAAGGGGACAGATAACGAAAAGTCGACACTGATCGAAAGCATTATCAACAATTTTTTGCTCAAGCAATTCACAAGCCATAGTTCGAAAAATATTTGTTATCGCTCACCAATTGACAATGGAATCTTAATGAAAACTAAACTCGATCACTCATTATGATATATGTCTTTATTTTTTATCCAAATAACAATAGTGAATAATCAGCGAGAAGAGATACCAGAAAAAGAAAGTGCTAAGAATATTATTCGGTGTATAAATCAATCTTGTAAATGATTTTTAAAATAAAGCATCACATTCACGAAAGATGGACTTTGTGCTAGTCAACATACGAATTTGCACATAGACGCTCAACAAAGTAGATTTTCGCGTTACAGATCATTTTCTGACAGATGCCTCATTGCTACAAAAAATATTCTGAACCATATGCAAGATTTGTACCCGTTTATCACAAGTAAAAAATTGTAAGGCGCTCCAAATTCGAACGTCGAGCACTATTTTATTTCCACTTCATATATGCAACATTCGATAGAGAATTTCATACTGATTAAGAATATGTTGCTTTGAATTCTTTGTGGTGCGCGTTATCACCGAGAAAAATTCAAAATACTGAGAGGGATTCTCTTTTCGAAAATCCGCTAACATTTTTTACAAATGGTATAACTCCGTTCCAAATGGATTTGGAGTTTCACAAAGGTGTTTTTCTTGATCAGCATCCAAAACTGCATCTCGAAAAGTATATTTGAAGATTCCAGATGAAACAATAGCTTCTGCCCGTAATTCTGTATTTTCTCCACAGAACTCATTTCTTATGCAATAAAAATATCTTATTCGAAGCTAGCGCGACAACCAAGCCGAATGATACACTTTTTTACTCTATCCGACCACCTGTTTTTTTCGAATTTTCACGTCAAAAAACCACTGAGATTTTCACCCAAAAATGAAAATCGGTGAAAAATGTCCAGACATATATCGTTCGAATCGGTTATCGACGCTAATTCCGAATATGATATTTTTTATTACATAAGAAATGAGTTCTGATGGAGAAAATAGAGTACTTTCTCAGGAACGAAAAACAAAATTTCGAAAAAAGTGCTTCATATTTTTGTTCTAAATTGAACGGCGAAGCGAATGGCTTATAAAACTTGTCTCTGGCCCTTAACCAAAAGGCTTCACGTGGCTTGCAAGATGAGTACCGTCAAACAAACGGTGTAGATGAAAAGCGACGTGTCCAGAAGTTATTGTTTCATCTGCAACCTTCAAATATACTTTTCGATATGCAGTTTTGGATGCTGATCAAGAAAAACACCTTGGTGGAACTCCAAATCCATTTGGAATGGAGTTACATCATTTTTAAAAAAAGTTAGTGGATATTGGAAAAGAGAGTCCCTCTCAGTATTTTGAATTTTTCTCGGTGATAACACGCACCACAAAGAATTCAAAGTAACATATTCTTAATCAGTATGAAATTCTCTATCGAATGATGCATATTTGATGTGAAAATAGTGTACAACGTTCGACTTTGGAGCGTACAATTTTTTAACATTATGTGTTAAATGTCATAATCTAGTGAATTTTCTATAGTATAGATTACGTGCTACTTTGCCAGAAAAATGTATAAGGCAGTACAACAATCTATCGAGACTAACAATACTTCCCTACTTCTGCATATGCCTTAGCTTCTGCCACATACGTTTTCGATTTGCACTCGGAAAAAAGACAGTTATCTTTATTTTCTGTTTGAGTAGGTGCCGCCTGTGAAGTACATCCTTGATTTCCAATTTCCAAATTTTTTTTCTTTCAACAAAAGTCGTTTTTGACAAAAGCGTACATTTTTCTTTTTCACGTTTGACAGTAGTCGGTCAAGATACTTTTTGCGTGTAAAATGTTAGTTACATGTTTTTTCTGTTACGCTCATAAATACAAAGAAAGAAATTCAATAATGAAAGGAAACGTACGTCAACGCGATGTCACATGGAGAGAAAAGAGAAGAAAAAGCTAGAAGTATAAAAAGAACAAGCAATACAAAAATGAATAAAAGAATAAAAAGAGTTAGTTTATTATTTTCATCTTCTCAGTGGTTATATCTAACGTCAATCGATATTATTATTGTGTCGATCCCTGTAACATGATTCACACCGATCAAAAAATTTACTATCAATTATTAAGACAGTTTCTTACTACAAATTGATTTGTTGTCAAACATTTTTTAACTGAAGAACATTGTTGCAAGTACAGCTCTCCTGTAAGAAAAGCATGATATTGTCGTAACAGAACATTTTTATAAACGTATGTAAATAAATGATCATCCTGAATTAAAAAACATATTCAATCCAGCCTAACGATATGTACTAATTCTACGATAAATAATTGACTGAAGAACCTTCTTTACAACGTCAAGTTACCTACATAGCCTGAGGACTTCTCACCTTATAGCTTTGGAAGGAGTTAATTACGAAAAGTATGATGCCATTCAAATTAAAGTTTATTAAACTTTCGGAAATAGATGATGCATCAAATCATAAAAACAGCTTCATCCTTTAGCTTTTTTGATCTTACACACATTTCCCTAAAGTTTCGACAGCATACGTTATGATACAAAGAGTCTCTCATGATTTACTATTGTAGATGCGCTGGTTCGTCACATCTGGAGAATTATACTCTAAGTTAAACTTTAATGATACTCACATTTTACTTTTCCACGTATCTGCTGATGATGCTCCGTCGAACTATATACCAAAAGCTGTTCATGTGAATTCGAATGAATTTGAATGTGATGATAGTTTAACTGGCAAAAACTTCTGGAAGTACAGACCGTTTGAAGAATTAAAAGAAAAAATACTGGTTAAATATGGAATACAGCAGGCAAGTTTTATCGTCATTTATTCTACCAACAAGTTAATGGCTGCAGCAAGATTTGCCTGGCTCCTGTACTGGATCGGATGCAACGATATACATTTGTTCGCTGAGAAATGGTGCTACGAAACACAAACAACCCATCACGTGCCTGTTCCCTTATCGATCTCAAACGATTGCTCATGGCCTCCTTCGATGCCATTGCGACCAGACACTCTAATGACATGTACAGCATTAAACGAAATTCTGAACTTGTGAGTTGAATACTACTTTAACAATCAGTTACCATCAGTTTTCCAATAATTAGGCATGGCAATAGTATCAGACTAATTGATGTTCGCACCTTAAATGAGTATATCGGGAAAACGACTGGCTATTCCTATGTTAAAATCGCTGGCCGTATTAAGGGAGCCATTTATGATCAAACCGATGGTATCTTTGGAAGAATCAGTAACCAGACAGCAGCGTATGATAATAAAACATTTATTTTTCCACACTCGAACTATTTTCAAGAAAAATGGTTAAATATCGGTTTAGACAGTGAGGTGAATAGTTTTTCTAAACTCGTGTTTATGTGTGGAACTGGCTGGAGAGCAAGTTTAGCAGCAATTTATGCTGAATATTTGGGTTTTAAAAATGTTGCTGTTCTTGATTCAGGTTGGTATGAATGGTCAGAAAGATTCTAACTGAATATTTCATTAAATAGTAAAAAAGTTTTATGTACCACTATTGGTCCATTTGTGTTTTCTTTTTACCATAAAACTATTTTAAGTTTTTAGCTTTTACTTTCCTAGGTTTCTATACAACCTGACTATTGTCCATCCAAAAAAAGAATGGTATATGACTGTTTTTTGAATAACTTTCGATAGGAAAAAGCTAAAGAGCTTCAATTTTCACCATTCGAAAGAGGAGACTTGGGGACATGTTTTCATAACCA